CTTGTAAGCTTTGAAACTGATATGGACGGTGCTCTGTTGAACGAGGGCCACGTTGGCAAGGTCCTCTGTGTCCGTCTCCCGGACCCACCAATAAGGAATGAAGAAGACATCTTCTGATTCGGCCTTCTGCTGATCGGTCGCCCTCGTCGGGGGCGATACGTGCAGCACTGCGGGCCCGCGCTTGACCTGGACCGCGCCCTGCGACGGCTCTGCCTTGATCTTGTTCAGCTCAGAGAACGGGGCAAGGACGAGCTTGCCCTTCTCGATCTTCTGGGCAGCAACGACGACGCTGGGGGTAAGGCCGTATTGCAACATCGTGCCATCATTGGCAATCAACTCGAAATCTTTGAGGGCTTTGAACACAGTGCAACGCGCCTCATCCAACTTCATGAGATGATGCGCCGAAGCGCACGTCCCTGCAGACATCGGCACTGCAAAGGGCACGCTGCCCTTGTACGACGCCCACTCCTTCAAGAAGAGCGCGAGGGCGACCTTCACGTCAAACGCTGGCTCAGTAAATGCAGTCAGCTGCCCCATGGTTACTTCGGCTGAACTAATGGACACTATCTTGTACAGCCCCGCATTCGCGCTCACGGCGCGCTCAAACACGACGCTCCCAACAGTGGAACCTTTGGTTGCCAAGATGCGCTCTGGGTTGCGCAGGTCCTCTTCGGTCATCACGACCGCCCTGTCATCTGAAGAATGCGTCTCGCTGGCTTCAAGGGGCGCATGAGGTTTCCACTCGCCGTCTGTGTCTATGACAACGCCGCAGCCAGACATACTGGCTGCCTCCGATACGAAGTCTGAGATAATCGGAACCTGGCTCTCATCCACGATGCCCTCTGGCCCTTGCTTGCCCTTCCCGACTAAGCGCAGAATTGGAAGAGTGAAGAATTTGCCAATCAGCATGTCATGCTGCTCTTGATCGATGTGGCCGCCGTCGCGCAGGGAGCCTGCGATGCGATAACATTTGGAAAGGTCCCTGTCGAGCGCAATCGCTGTGTCCTTGACGGATTTGCCTTTCAACCTCTCAACGTCGCTGGGGACCGATAGCTTCGCCACGCCGGCCGAACCCTTAGCGGAAGCAAGGTTCGCAAGGATGCTTGCGATGCGCAGGAAGACGCACGGCTCGATATCACCGAAATGGACGTCGACAACTGACGTGCCGAAATCCTGCCCGAGCTTCTTGTTAGCACCGTGCATCTTGCCAAACCGATCAATGAACTTAACCAGCGGGGCGCCAGATCCCCCGCCACAGTGCGTTGCGAGCTTGCCAATCTTATCGATGTAGTCCTCTCGGCGGACACGCATCCCCCCATGCAGATGCTGCGCGGCGCAGGCGCGCGGGGCCACAGCGCAGACTGCATGCAAGACGCATGTCGGATAAACGCAATCGGCAACGCGTTGCCGGCGTTTCAACGCGCCGTGGCCGCGCCCGCGTGCGCCGTGCGCATTTGCAAGAGATGCATTCCCAAGTAGCCTGCCTGGCACGGAGGCTGGTTCATCTTCACTGCACCAACGCAGTCGCCGAAAGAAGACCCAGGAGGCATCAGTTCTGCAAATTCTGCAATGCTCACGCGCACTTCGAGCTCAGACATCAAGCTGGCAACGTTGTTGCTCGCGTTGAGGGCACGCTGTGCCAAATCTGGAAGGTGCGGCCACGTGACTTCTGCCTGCCACGGCAGGACGGTCCTACGCCAGCCCTTCTTGAGGGCGTCGTGGAAACGCACGTCCTTGGACAACGTCTCGGCGTTCATCTTCCGACTAGTCGGGTCGGCGGTGGTCGGTTCAGGGGTGGAACAACCCGTCTTCACTGCCTTGAAAAATTGCGCGGTGTGGCCCGTCCCCACCGCGCAGAACCTCTCCGCGCCCGTCATCGGCGCCATCATGCCCTTGCTGGACGAGATCAACTTTTGATTGAATGCAACTTGGGACGACCTCATCGGATCCGTGGGCATGCGCTCGAACGCAGCAGCCTTCTCGAGCTCTGCAGGGTCAACGCCGAGCTTGCTGAGCATGGCGCCAACCCTGTGGACCTTGTAGGCGTTCACGCCAAGACCAGAACGGTTCGAGGGATGGATCATGAATTCGTCAGCCTCGGCGACGATCTGCTCGGCAACCTTATCCTTCAAAAGGCGGTCGACGCAATCCTGCCAAGCCTGCGATCGGGGCAAGCTTGCCATCGCGATGCATCTCGATGCGCCCGCTGATGCAATCCACCAGCTCCCGCGGATAGAAATTCTGCATCGTGCGCACTGGAAATGCAGCAGCTGCAGAAGAGAGAAGCGAGCCCGAGCCTGACACGCCTACACATCGCCACTGCAAGTCCCAATGCTGCGACAGCAATCTTTTTTTGATATATAATGTGGTCTCAATTGAAATAATGCCACGCGTTGTACCGAATGCATGCACGATGCATGAAAAAAAAAACTGAATGCGACGCATCGTGGAGAATGCAGTTGCTGCAAACGCGGACCAAACTTAATCGCGGAGTCGCTCGTCGAGCGTGCAATCGCCACTTGGCACAGAATCCAGCGACGGATGCGTCTTCACACATTTGAGATATTCCATTCATAATTGCCCCGTGGGCAACGTTTGAACATCAAAAAGGAGCCATGCGGGCCCCACCCGCATACAAAAATGTGAAGTGGCATCCTGACTTTAACATTGGGCAAATCCCACTTCAACCATCAACAAAATGTCGCTGCGTCAAGTTGCAACTCGGCCTAAGTCAAGATAAGGTAAGACAAGTGCTGGCCAACGGATGCAAATGTTATGCGACTTGCTAAGGTAGCTACGTAAGATACCTGATCTTACAAACGCTTAACCGACTTGCAACTATGTTGCAGCTACCTTACAACTACCTTACAACTACATTGCAAGTACCTTACAACCCAACCCAACCCCCAGGTTCACCACAGTGGGCCCGTTGGGCCAGCGAATTTGCGGCGTCGGACAAACATGGGCTCGGCATCTGCATAGCCGTGCGACATCTGGCGTACCAGTGTTTGACCGCATGCGTGGAGTGACTGTGAGTGTGCGCGTGTCTGTGTGTCAGGATGGAAAATCACACAGACAATTAATCGTCGATCCCCTAGAAAATATTGGAAAATATGGGAAGTGGGGGGGAAGACAAAAACCCAGAAAATATAAGAAAATATGGGGAATCCTGCTGTTTATGTGTATTTATTTGTGTGTCCCAGGGCCCCTTCAGTGTGTGTGTGTGTGTGTGTGTGTGAATGTGTGTGTGCGTGTGTGTGTGTGCTGTGTGTATGTGCGTGTGCGTGTGCGTGTGCGTGTGCGTGTGCGTGTGTGTGTGTGTGTGTGTGTTTTACCAGGGCTGGCCCGCGAGCGTCTCTCTGACCTTCACTACGCCGCGCCGCTGCGCGCGCGTGTGTGTATGTGTGTGTGTGAATCTGTGAATGTGCGCATGTGTGGTGTGTGTGGTGTGTGTGGTGTGTGTGTGTGTGCGTGTTGCCGCCGGCTCTTCTCTGAGCTCGGCGCACGAAGGTCCCTTGCAGATGCACTTGGCTTTCTCCGGTTCGTCGCTGCGCGTGAGGCCGCGACCGCCAAATCACTGTGTGTGTTAGTGATCCCGCTTGAGGGCCCAGTCGTGAGTTTTGCCGTTGCTTTCGTCTTCCTCCGCCTCGTCACCGCGCGCGAGGCCGCGACCGTCCAAAAATGTGAATGTGTGTGTGTGTGTGTGTGTGCGTGTGTGTGCGTGTGTGCGTGAGTGTGTGTGTGTGTGTGTGTTATCCGGGTCGGCCCGCGCGCGCTTCCCTGACCTCCACTATGCCGCACGGTGTTTCCCTCGCTCTTGTGTCTGCGCTGCATTGCTTCGCTGCGCCCGCCTCTAGCTCAGGGTCCCACGGCGCCGTCCGAGCGCGCACCGCCCAGCTCTCACGGATGGCCCAAACATGCCGACACCACGGCGTCGGAGGAACAGCCTGTGTGTGAGCGTGTCGCGGCCTTTCTACGCCGCGCCGCTGTGCGCGCGGCTACGATGCCACAGTTCGTGTGTGTGTGTGTTTGTGTATGTGTGTGTGTGTGTGTGCGTCCGGTCGCCTCGCTGGCCCTCGCTCTTCCAGACGGGCTCGGCTCGCCTCGAGTCCGTGCTTCCGGTGTGCACCCGCCCCGCCGTTGTCGCCGCAGCTGCGGACCTTCCTCCTTGTTTTCCTTTCCATGCCCGCTTTCCTGCTTCTTCCCCCTCTGGCCGCCATGGCGCCGCCGCGCCGCAGCTCTTGCTCGCTGCCGCCTCGCCCCTGCTGCCCCTCTGGACGCCCAGACGCGCCGTCCACCGGCGCCCACGCGAGTGCGATAGTATCGCAAGTCAAGCTGAAGAACACACATTTTGCTCGAAGCAATCCATGGGTGTTTGCACTGTTTCCCCTTGCCCGGCGCCTCGCGCCTGCCCCCGGGGTCTGCTTGGCCTGCGCTCCGGCCCCCCGGACGCCGTCCCCGCCGCCTTCGGGCCGCACGGGCTGCTCACGGCGGAAGTCTTCCGCCTCTGAGTGCTCGCCTTCCCCCCCTTCCCGCGGCCGCCCTGCTCTTCTTCTTCCTTCCTCCTGTATGCCTGCCCATTCGCTGTGTAGTGCCCCTGCATCGCTGCCACGGTGGAGCGGATTGCCCCGCCTCGCCGCCGACAGAAAATATGTGCGCGTGCGTGTGCGTGTGCGTATGTGTGTGCATGTGTGTGTGTGTGCGTCTGCGTGTGCATGTGAATGTGTGTATGCGTGTGTGTGTGTGTGTGTGTGCTTGTGCGTGTGTGCGTGTGCGTGTGCGTGTGCGTGTGTGTGCGTACCTGCTTTCCCTACGCCGCCTGGTCGAAGTCTACGCAGCCCTGCGCGCCTCTGCGTATCCTTGCTTCATCGCCCGCCCCCGCGCGTTTTAATCTCGAGCCAACCAGCCCGCCAAGCGCAACCCGCCACCTGCAACGCCTGGTGGAATTCAGCATACTCGAGATCGCCCGAGCTCTCACCTCCTGCCCCCTGGCGCCTGAGGTGCTGGCCTCCGTGAACGGGAGCCTGCCTTCCGGTGCGACCAGCTGGGGGGGGGGGCATGCCGGGACGAGGGTGAAGCTCGCGGCCTTCGGATGTTTTCGTGTATTTGTTCGGCGCCCTCATCGACACGGCTGGACTGCCTTTGGAATTCCGACCAGATGCACCGCAAGGCAACGTATTTGGACCGAGTTTCAAGGGGGGCCTGCGGACATGCAGCGGTTCAAACAAATGGAGACGGCACTCCTTCATTCGCTACTCTGGAACCTGGGGGGCAGGTTTCGGTATCCCGGACCGCCAGCAAAGACCAGCCCAGATGAAAAATTGGCCGCAGGCGCGCATGTTTCGTGCATCGCCGCCAGATGTCTGAGGGTAGCGGGGCATCGAGAAACTGGAAGTTGCGTGCGTGCCAGTTGAGGAGCCGTGGCGCCCGTGCCCGTTGAAAGTCTGTCTCCGAGGTCGGGGGGGCCATTTCCTCCCTCATCTTGGCACGCCCGAAATGGGCACGGAGAGAGTGGGCACGATGCCCCGCAGGTTGTCCAAGATCGACAACGGCCGTTGGTGGGCAGGCGACCTTTTGTATTACATATACAACGTCCGCGGCGACACCGACAGCGAAATCCTTTTCAAATAAACACAGCTGTCGGTCTTCGTACCAAGTTTTTCCATATACGTTTTGATCGTCGCCACCATCGTCGCCTCTTCTGCTGTTTCTATCGTCGCTGGCTGGTGGCGCCCCCTCCGTGGCACACTCGTTAGTGGTCCTTTACGCCGCCTCTCAACGGCAAAATACGAACCCCATCCCCGCCGATGTGCGACTCGCGCAACTCGAGGGGCGGCAGGGGCAGGGTTTGGAATTCGTCCAGCGCGTGGCGAAATCCGAACCTTACCCTCGCCGACTTACGATTTAGGCAACTCGACGGGCGGAGGGGGCAGGTTTCGGAGTTCGCCGAGCACGTAGCGAAATCTGCATGCTGACCCCCACAGTAACCTTAGACCGACCGTCAGTTCAAGGGTATGTGACTGTCAGTTAACCTTTCGTACTTTCTCCCAGCCTTCAAATCTACATGTTCTTACGGGTCGCCGACGTTGTCTTACCTTTAATTCACCGTCAGTTACGCGTAACAGACGGTGAATTATCTTCTTAGTGACCGTCAGTGAAAAGGTCATTGGTCGCGATCAGTTCAATTGAACCCACCATCATTTACCTTTACCTGGCGATCAGTTAATAGTAATTGACGGTGTGTTACCTTTAACCGGCCGTAAGTTAGAAGTGATTGACGGTGGGTTGCATTTGGTTTACCTTAAATACAGTACATTTAGTAGACCGTCGTGTCAAATGTATTTTACGGCTAGTTGCCTTGATGTAGCGGTCAGGTAGCGGTAAGTGACAGTGTGATACTTTTGATGGGCCGCGGTCAGTTACCTGTTATTGACGGTCAGGTAAAGTTAATCCACCGTCAGCTACAGGTAATTCATTCGGCAGTTCAATGTATTTCACCGTCAGTACTTTTCTTGTTGACGGTCAGTTCAAAGTAATTCGCAGTGAGTTGCCTTAAATAAACGGGTGGGTAAAGGCATTTTGCCGTCACTAAAGGCAGCAGAACGTCAGTTACCTTCAATTCGTGATCAGTTAGATTTGACTGACGGCGAGATACCTTTCGTTGACCGCGGCTAGTTATTTTTATCTGACGGTTCGTTGCAAGTAACTCACCGTGAGTTACCTTGTCATGCCAGGTGAGTCACCTTCAACTGACGGGCATGGAAAGGTAGCTGACAGGCATTTACCTTTAAGTGGACGTCAGTGACATGACATTTCGGGGAACACCCTGGCACTGGAAATCCAAGCCTTCCTACCCTCGCCTTCGATTCAGGAGAATCGATGGTTTTGGGGGGGTCTGGACTTCGCCACCTAGCTTCGGGATGCACAAGCGTCTCTCCTGGAGCGTTCCTCCACCCTCTCTCCGGTCGGACGAAGGGGGGCGGTCTAGGGACAGAGGGGGGCGTGGATGTAAATGTGTGGTTTTTCATGGTGGTTCCATGCGCCAAACATTTTCCTGGTGCTTCGGCCCCACCCTGCGGCACCCGCGCGGTGCAAGACGCAGGCTGTGTCCGTGTCCGTGTCCGTGGCCGTGCTGCGTGAAGCTGGTTTTTGCCCCGCCGCCGGGCGCAGTCCTCGATGCATGGGCACCTCCAGCGCCAGGAGGCGCCGGGAAAATCAGCTGCGCGAGCTGATTCCCACACCACCTTCTGCTATAACCCGCGGTCGTTCGACCCTGCCGACTCCGTGCTCCGTCCTTCCTCCTCGCTCCTCCCTGCTCCATCGCTCCTCCTTGCGCAGCGCCCTCGTCGCAGAAGTTCAGGGGAGAGCACGTCTCAAGCGCAGCCCTCGGCCTAACGTACCTCCTTTCTCGTGGCTCCCTGCCTGCGCACCCTCCTAGGGGCTCCAGGCGCACCGTCGACAGCAGGTGGGGGAGCTTCCCTGTCACTGTCTCGTCATGCAGGTGAGGAGAGCTCCCTGCTACTTCAAGACGGGGGTTCTCCTCACCACCCTACGGATTGCACAGTCGGTTCGTTGAAATCAGATCCAGTTCCAGTTCGGAAGGGGCCCGGTGGTTGCTTAGGTTTGCATGCGTTCCGTTGCTTTTTGCTGGTGGCAAGCCATTTCAGTGTTCCTTCGGATTTTTGCCGCTCACGGGTCGACTCGGAAAGCAATGGGATTGACTGTTTGTTCCTCGTTCCTTATCTCAGCAGCCCGGCTTTGTCGGGTGGTGCCCAGTGGGTTCGAAGCCCTCCTCTGCCTCCCTCCCTCCATCGTCCTGCCGCGGACACCGAATGACCGTGTCCTGGTGGTCGTCGAAGCCTCACACCGGGGCTGAAGCAGCAGCACTCCAAGCTGCCAGAGACCCCCGAGGAGTGGTGCCGCGGCGGGAGCGTCCGAGGGCGCGAGGGAGACGAGGAGGAGGGGAGGAGGGGAGGACGAGGCGAGGCGAGACAGGAAGCGAACTTGAGCCTCCTCCTCCCAGGAGGGAAAGAAACACACAGACAGTTAATCGTCGACGCCCAGGAAAATATTGGAACAAATGGGAAGTGGGGGGGAAGACGAAAACCCAGAAAATATGTGAGAATACGGGGAATCCTGTTATTTGTGCGTATTTCTTTGTGTGTCCCTGGGCCCCTTCATCCTCCCCCTCCACCCCGCTCGGAGAGTGGAGGAGGGGCAAAGGGGGGATGGGGGACGGCGAGGGCAGTGGCGCGCACCCAGGTGTGAGCGAGGGCTCCGTGGTGGAGGCGGGCGCGCCGGGGAGCGCCGACGAGGACGAGGACGAGGACGACGAGGACGGCCACGACGGCGAGGGACCAGGGACGCACGTCCCTCCTTCGCCCCCTTCCCCTCCTTCCCCTCTGCCTCGCACGCTGCCAAGAGAGCCCCTTGTCCTGGCCGAGGGGGCTCGGTAAGGCGTCGTGCGAGCCCCTCCCTCCTCCCTCCCCCCTTCCTCCCTCCTCCCTCCTCCCTCTTCCTCCCTTTTCCTCCTGCTTCTCCTCCGGGCATGCACGCTCGGCAAGTGCTCCTTCGAGTAGCACAAGTAAGCATGTCGTGGCTGTGGGCTGCAGTTTGATTTGCATTCCAGAATAACAAAATTAAAAGCTGCCCGGCACCGTAGAATCCAGAGGGGGGAAATACACTCCGATGAGTACCCAAACGACCAGGAAACCTCGATCATCGACCGTCGACGACCAGGACGAAAGCTGCATTACTTTTGCAGCTCTGTGTAGGCGATCACAAGTGCGACCAGCATCGTCAATGGACATGCCTGTGTGTTCTTTGGGATATGTTCCCCGGGCCCCCTCGTGATAAGTGTTCCCTCATTCTCCCACCTCGTTCCTCATCTCTCGTGATGATTCTCCTTCAGTGCTACGTTCACTCCTATTCCTAGAAGGGGGTGTGCGCGACTGCACTGGATTCGACGAGGATAACCAGAATGGTGGATTTGACATGTCGCCGGCATGGCACCGACGTAATCCGTCTCGATGCCGTGCATACTTGCATGCACTCGTGTCGTCAGCGCCAGCATGCAGGCTTGTGGCTTCGTTCAGGCCGTACTTGCACACGAATCGGGCAAGACTTGCTCTCAATGAGTTCTTTGCGCGCGTGAGATGTTTCGTGCCGCTTTCTCATACGTAAAAAGCTGGTTGGTCACATTGCATATTGTAAGTTGAGGCTCGACGAATCAGACCAGTGGCTGAATTACTTCCGCAGTCAATGACTCATGTTTGGGGGAAATCTCATCATGGCGACACAGCACAGAAAACGGGGGACGCAGTAAGATCCTGGATAGAAAGGCGAACAGCGCACGACCGTCTTTGCACGTGGAACATTGCAATACCATGTGCATTCAACAAGCCGCTTGTTCAGGTGCAGCGCCTTGGTGTATCATGCAAGATCACCGACGTCGCGGAGACCTGTGACGACATTGATCCCAAACGCATAGTTTCTTTATCACGGTACTTCCACGAGGCGCCCGCGACAGTGTCTTTGAGACCGTATCTCAAGCATGTTGTTCATGTTCGTGTTGTCGTCCTTCTCCTCGCATTTCCCTGGTCCACGAGTTATTCGTCATATTTTCACATGCTCTCGCTTCCTCATGTCAAGTACATCTCGATACGTAGTATCCGGGTGAGTGAGCATGTGCCACGCTAGTGCTCGGTTTCGCTAAGCTGGACTTTCTTTGTCGCACGCGTCAGTTCGGCAGGGTATGCTTGGACACGATTCAGACACTACCGTGCTAGCTTCTTGAAGTGAAGCGCCTTGCATCATTCATCCGAGTCGTCATGGCATGAAGACACCCTGACTGCCTGTTTTCTGAAGGCCTTGCGGCCGATGCCCTCGACTCAGAATGGCGACGACGACGAGCACGACAACCACGACGCTGATAACCCTGCCACAGGCTCGGGACATCGGACGGGCGGTGGAGGGAGGGAGGAGGAGGAGGAGGAGGAAGAGGAAGAGGAGGAGGAGGAGGGGGGGGGGAGGGGGAGGGGAGGGGGTGTGGGGGAGGAGGAGGAGGAAGAGGAGAAGGAGGAGGAGGAGGAGGCAAAGGCAAATGCAAAGGCGCCCAGGGGGCGGTTCTGAACGCAGGGCCCCGAATGGGGCCTTGAAATCAGGCAACGCTGTCCCTGCAAAGCATACGGACGCACGGACTCGCGCTTCCCCGGGCCTGCCTGCCACGCGCGCGATTGGCGAACGCCTCGTCCCCCCTCCGCCTCCCCCCTTCCGCCCCCCACCAGAGGCCGCCAGGACGCACGGGCGACGCAGCTTACACATGCTTCGGGGAAGAGTCGAGGGACGGGATTGGCCGGCCCAGTCGGCCAAGGGCGGGGCCAGCCTCCGAGGGGGTCGAAGCTCCGCGGCCCCGAGGCAGGGGCAAGGCACAGGGGAGCAAGCAAGGGGGGGGGAGGAAGCGAGGAGCAGGCAGGGGAAGGTGCGGAGAAGGCGAGGAGACCAAGCCAGCGAGAAGAAGAGCCGGGGCCGCGGACTGGCATGAGCCTATTCCTAGGGGGTTCTGGAAAATGGGGGGTCCCTTTCCGACAGTGCGACGCGCCAAACGTACGCCGCAGATGGCAGACATGTTGTGTTAATGCTATGCCAACTTGTATTCGGTGTCGATACCCTCTGGAAACATTCCAAACCGAGTCCAATCGTGCATCACTTGCAGCACGTCTTCAATGTCGCATTCGACCTGCGCTTCTTGTCTTATTTCGTTCAACGTCATTGCTCGCCCGTCTCGGAGAATGGTTATCACGTTGTCCAAAATCAGATCACACCAACTGTCAGCATTATCATCTCTGGGCTCTCGGATGCTTTCGTAACGTGCCATCACCTCGTCGAATAAGTCGTCAAAGTTTCGTTTGAGCGAGTCCGAAATGTTGTGTGTTTGTTGAAAAAAAGCCAAGCAAGGGGCCTCCCGGGCGTCAATGAGATCAAATGTTATTTCTCGTGTGCAGTGAATTTCTCGGGATTGTTATTCTACATCAGCTTTCATCGACAAGCGCTCGCGTTCGTCGCAAAGGAATGCGAGGCTGGGCCCACGAACACCCCATGTGTTATCTGTTCCAAGATCCTGCCACAGAGGGCGTGGCATTATTCTTCTTCTTCTTCTGCCCGTGCGTCGGCCGAAACATTGCTCGGTGGTTTGCTTCGAAGGTCGACCGAACATGCTCGCTGCTGCAGTTCAGCTCCAAGAGGTCCGAGCGACGGGCTCGGGGGGTACGGTAGGTTCGTGTCGTGTCGACCGGCGGCGACCCCGCCAGCGGCGTTCGACGTTGAACGCCGCGGGCGACCCTGAATCGTTCGATGTGGAACGGTTTGGACGTTTCGGAAAGGGCCGATCGTTCAAGGTTGAACGATCCCCGCGGTGTCAGAAACCAACGCCGAAGTCGGCACGACACGAACCTGAAGTACAGTCTTGTTTGCCTCGTTGCCAGCCTGAGGTCCACAAAGGTTTCCCGCCGTAGAAGCAATCAATATCTGACGCAATTTCCTCCTGGGTCTACGCCGCATGGCGCTCCCCAGGGCTTCTGGGAACAGCCTGTCGTTTCTGGGTCTGCGCCGAAGGGCACTCCCCAAGGTCTGTGGCCCGCGCTGGTTTGTCTGTCTGTCCCTGCCAAATGTCACTCTCAGTTAATCGTGTTTCAACCTTCTCCGAATAAACTGTGTTCATAAAACTCTCTCAACAAGTGTCCCAAAACATCTCTGCACATTTTTGTGCTTCCTCCTGGACTCTCCGCCTCAACGCCCCGGGCGGATCGGGCTCGCCTGGGCCTGCTGGCCCTGAGCCCTCAGGCCGCCTCCGACAAACCTCCTCCTCCTCAAGCCGCCTCGAAACTCCTCCTCCTCCTCCTCCTCGCCTCTTTATCTCCTGATGATGGCGAGGAGGACGAACACACCTTTTTGGCACCAAGGCGCCTGCGGTCAGGTCCGCAGGCACGAGCTCTGCGGCTGGCGTCCCTCGCCGCCGCTGGACCCCCCTCGTGCTCTCCTGGCGGCCCATCGCCGCCCCCTCTGGTGCATCCTGCACCGGATCTCTTGTTGGCGCGCCGCGGGGCCCACCTCGAGGGCCCCCGCGCGCACTGGCGGGCGGACCTGGCCCCACACAGCCCAGCACTCCTGGCTATGCTCAGCGCCGCACTGCCAGCCTCGAAACTCCCCTGCGCTCTCAGCACAGGCCTGATCGGCCCCTGCTGCCCACGCGCTCTGAGCCTCCGGCCAACGCGACTGCACAACCTCTCAAACCATCGTGATGTCGGTGGCCGCCATACTGCTGGCAACCCCCTCTGCCATGCCGCGCGCCTCCCACAGGTACCCCTGGAAGGCGTCGCTGTTCCACCTGCCCCAGCGCTGCACCAGAGCGGTGTCCTTGAATGCCGCGTACAGCGCTGACGTTCCTCCGATCCTCAGGCTGTGCGAGGCCCAGGTCGTTCGGGTCCATGCCGTCCGCCACCGCCGACTGCATCACCACACGCTGGACGTCAGCACGTGTCACCAAGTGCATGTCGTCGAAAGCGAACAAGGGGTCGTACATCCGCGCGCCCGAGAACCTCTCGTTGGCCCAACCAGCATAGATCTCGAGCGCCTCCACCACGCAGATGTGCTCAGCTCGATCTGAACCCCCCGTGACCACAATACCAAAGTGGTTGCGCCACTCACCCCTGTTGTACTGATCGGTCTTGCTGGCCCGGATCTTGATGACGACCTCGTTCGCCTGCCCCACGCGCGAGTCGGCTCGCCGCTCGTCTTCGGGGTGACGTCAGCTCCCCGAAGGCCCTTGTTGCCCATGTAGCCGTTCTGATCGTTCGAGACGTACTCGCTGGCCCTCAGGAGGAAGAGGTAGCCCGTGGCCACCGCAGCCCACAGAGCTGCGCCCTCTCTCGACCTCTCTGGCTGCAGCTTCCGCCTAATCCACCTCATCATGCGGGGAGTGACTGGCTTCTTGCGCTTGGTGCCGCCATCCCTCCTTCTGAGCCCGTCGATCGCCATCCAGAGCCTACCAGCGCCTTCTCTGATGTCGCCCATGCCGAGCGCGAGGTGCTGGGCTCGGACCGAGCTCAGGTACTGCTTGATGGTGCCCGCCTTCTTGCAGCCTCGGCGCGCCAAGTGGATGACGAACTCCAGCAGCAGCTCCTCCTCATTCCTCCTACTCTCTGGCGTGATCTCGCGATGCGGACTGATTCCCCTTGTGCGGCAGAAGAGAGTCCACCACCTCCAGCCAGCGCTGTACGACTTGATCGTGGAGCTAGCCAGCTTGTCGAGACTGAGCTCGAGTTTGGCCTTCTCCCAGTCCTCGCGCGTCTTGAGGTCCGTCAGAGTGAGGTCCCCCGGGCGGGCGCTCGCTCGAACAGGTTCTGGTCCAAGGAGGTTGGGCGGCTTGTTCTCGCACGGGCCGCGGACCCTTTTGCTGCCTTTCTTGCCCTTATGCGAGGTGGCACCCGCTCTGCGGTCGTGCTCTTCGCCTGCACCCAGGGCTGCCATGGCCCAGTCGAGCCACCCTCCTTTCTGCTCGGGGTAGCTCCACCTCCTCACCAGCGCCTCAAGCTCCTCCTCAGCCTGCGCCCGCTCGAGGCACCCGCTCCTGCGGTCGTCTCCTCCACTGCTGCCGCGCCTGCGGTCCCATTGCGACGGCGGCCTGAGCCCTGCGCGGCCCCCCGTGCCACGGCTTCGAGATGGGTGCGAACTCCTCTCTCGCCAGGGCCCGCACTGCCAGAGCTCCGCCTGTCCGCTAGGTAGCGCGCGACCGCGCGCGGGTCGATCTCTACGTTCTCGCCGGGCAGCGGCGCGTAGGCCGGGCGCTCCTCCGCCTCAGCCTGCCGCGATGTGTGGGGCGCCGGGGAGCTCGGCGCCGACAGCCCAGGCGATAGGGAGCGCTCAGACCTAGGCGGCCCTCGGCTGAGGCCCTCCCGTGGCGCCCCTATCCTCTGCCGTGGCTCGTATCTCCTGGCCATCTCCGCCGCGTCGTCCCCATCGCGCTTGATCTGGATGGCCCGGGCCCTCAGCGCCGCCATCCTGGCCTCGCTGCTCGTGCCCGCGTCGGCCTCCATCGACTCTGCCTGCAGCTCTGTGTCGACAGAGCTCGCAGCATCACCATCGCCTCCCTCGTCCTCCGGGGTGGCACTGCGCCGGGGCGGGCTGCGGGAGACCGTTCTCTCCCTTGGCGACGGCATCGGCAAGGGCTCCCTGACGCGGGCACGCGGCGCGCCGGTGCCCCGCGTAGGCCGAGGGGGGACTGAGCTATATCGCCCTCCTTGCCGGGCTCGCTGGGCGTCTCCTCTCCTCCGGCGACCTGGGCCGCTCCTGACCCTCGGGCGCGGCCGTTCCGCCGCGTCCTTCCTCGAGCACCTGCGGGCGCAACTCCTGAGCCCGCGCTGAGGCATGCGCTGCATGATCCAAAAGGCGGCGGTGCTCCTGGTTCGCCGCACTCTCCCCGATGGTGCGCCGGCCCTCCACGCGGTCAGCCAGCTCCT